GCCCTATTCAGAAGTTGTCAGGTGTTGGTCACGTGACACCAGGCCACTTGCCCAGAAAGAAACCCATTGCACCATCAAGCTAGCAAGCACCCAATTCGCCACTTAAGATAGTGGCACCACTTTTCTGCCTAAACCAATAGGCAGATACCACAACAGAGGATCCCCCTACCAACTGGCATACAGTATAGCCAGGTACAGGATAGGCTAGATCTTCTCACAACCCTATCCAGATGAAGACTGATCGTCACACTCATTGTTCTGAGTTTGGACAGATCCTCTCATCTGATGTTGCAACCGTTGTGATGTGCTCTGTTGGCCATCACCCATTGGCCCCTCAATAGTGGGCCCACTTACAGGCATTTATCTCATTGGATTAGATAGGATTACCTCGGCGTATTCACGGCCATTGTAGATAGTTGCTATGACGAAGTCCAGAACCATTATCGGTTCTGGCAATATATTCACATGTAGGTATCTGAGGTCTCACAGTAGCACAGTGCCAGGGGCCCTGCCCTACATGTATATAAGCACATGAGGATCTAAGGGAGAACCTTAGATTCATTATTCTATTGCATGCGGCCTAAACAGCCAATTCACCCCCTAGTTGTGAGCATAAGGCTAAGGGCCCTTTGAGCCCCTTTTCCAAACTGCATACCACTGCACGCGTCCTCAGCCTAGCCCTTGTGGCAGGCTTTTTATGTGGGATCATTTGTGCAGGTCACAAAAGCAGACTTGCCCTTAATTGGGTTAAGTGCTTTGGTGCTTTGTGACACTGCCTATTGGCTAGGTGACAAAGTGATGCCACTATCTTGAGTGGCAAATTGGGTGCTTGCTAGCTTGAGGGAGCCTATTGTGGGCCAAAGGATTCCTTTCTGGGCAAGTGGCCTGGTGTCACGTGACCAACACTGACAACTTCCAAATAGGGCAAGTGGCCAGTGTCACATGACTGGGTGGCTGAATCATGGACGCTTGGTAGTTATGTGGTAGACACGGTCGTATCCGCAATGTATGTGGTGATATTGTGCTGTTTATCCAAGTATCCACTTTGTGAGACCAATATGAAGGTTGACATCTAAATAACCACTTGTGGTTGCCAAATGAGGACTTTAATGATGCAAAAAGAAAGGTGCCACCTAATACTGTGAAAGCTTGTCAGTGGACAATGAACTGTTGAGGTGAGCCTTCAAGTATTGTTGAACAAAGTCAAGACTTACGATTTCATGTCTTTCATGACATGATCCCACAACAATTGTGTTACCTCTTAAATAACGAGGTTAGAACTATGATGCTTGCATGGTGAACAAATACTCATCATATCCTCACCTTGATCAGGCAGTTGCACCATCTCAATATCCTCTTGGTCATTGTTGCCATCCTTGTTGCCAGTTTCCCCCTTCCAGTCCATGTCGTTGCTCATATCCTGGTTCAACAGAGACTTCTTCACCTTCTTCATGCATCACTCCTCTAGGTGAATCTTGTCTTCATGATTGTCATCCTTCACCATGTTGTGCATGTTTTTAATGTTCTTTATGCCGTGCCTCTTTCTCCTTAGGCCTATGTTCTTCTTGGAGGTGATTTCAATCTCTATCACTCCTTGTGGTCATGGACAGGCAGAGTGCCCTGATCTGCATCCCCTGTCTCTGATGCCTTCACCTGGTGGGCTGAGGGTGAATCTTTTATGTTGCTTAATGATCCTGACCAACCAACCCAAATGGTCAGTGGAGAGCTTGCCTCTGGTTCCATTATTGATCTGATTTGGGCCTCCACTTCTGCATCCTTCCAAGTTCACAGCTTGTCTGCCACTGCAGCACCTTTTAACTCTGACCACACCCTTTTTATGGTCACCATCACTTATGTGACCCATTCATTGACAGTAAATCTGGTTTTTTTTTTCACATTGACATATCCAGACAGGATGAGTGGGAGTTGTGCTTCACCCATAAGCTAAGTCTTCTCCCTCCTTTCCTCTCCTACTCATTCCTGGCTAATCTTGACCATGGCACAGAAGCCATCATGGCTGCCCTGTCTATTCTATTACTAACACCACTATTTTCCTCAGATGCACCCATGTCCACCAAGACTCAAAGCTATGGTGGAACAACACTTGTGACATTGTGCACATGGCAGTCCAGAATGCCTCCACTGCTGAGTATCAAGAATCGTTCAAGCAGGCTGTCTCTCATGCCATTCAAGAGGCCTGCAAGGATTGGTTTCAGATGACCCTGTCAAGGCTACAACACACTGATCCATGGTGCCTCACTAGATGAATCAAAGACATGTAACAACCACCACTACCCATCATCTGTCTTGATGATGAAGTTGACACTCTGCCTCTGGATGCAGAATAATTTCTCACTCATTTTTGTTTCCCTTCCTCCCTTTCTTTACCTCATTTATCTCACCTCTTCACTGGGTCACCACCCCCCTCACTGCCCAGGCCACCTCCTGCTTGAATCTGAGGTGACTGCTGCTATTGACATGGTGTTCAATTACTCTGCCACTGGCATCTCAGGCATGTCATGGAGACTGCTTAAGTGAGTCTGGCAGTCAGATGCATGCAACACCATCTTTACGTTCCTTTCTTCTTTCTTGCAGGTGGAGTATCTCCCTTTTACTTTGTGAGAGGCTGTCATGGTCTAACTTCCTAAACCTGAAAAGGATGACTACACAGTGCCTAAATTTCACTGTCCTATTGCACTGCTCAAGATCCTTAGCAAGGTACTGGAAAAGGTGATAGCACAATGGTTCAACTATCAGATTGATGCTCATAACCTGATCCCTGAATCTCAATTCGGAGGCTGCAGCCAACACTTGATTGTCAATGCTGGCCTCACCCTCACCCATCATGTTCGCATGACATGGGAAAACAGTTTCTCTGCTTCCTTGCTTTGCATGGACATTGAGGGCTGCTATAATAATATACATCATAACATTTTCTACTTCTCTCTTTAATTCATAGACAATAAGGTCCACTGAACCATGTCTTTTCTTGACTCACACACCGTGTGTCCCAAACTTCAATCAAAACTGGGACTGTCCTATCTGGTCACTGCCCTGAGCATCTTTCAGGTCTATCCACTCTCATCTGTGCTTTCTACTATCTACTTTTCTCCTCTTTACTTCTCTCTCAACTGTTTGTTCATCCATAACAGTCTTTCATGAACTATGTGGATGATTTCATGCTCCTTATAGTCTCTTCTTCCCTTAACAAGAATGTGTCTGTCATGCAACATACCCTACCTTTGGTGAGGCAGATGCTGCACCAGCTCGGACTCTCTATTGGCATGGCCAAAACTGAACTAATTCATCTCACTTCTCTCCGATGCTCTCTTGATGCCAACCCCAATCTGATTATTGACTGGAAAGGGAGGCAGGAGCATATTCAATCAGTTCCTTATCTGAGGTGGCTGGGGCTTTGGCTTGACTGCCATCTCTCCATTCATTATCACATACATATCATGGCAGCATGAACAATGTTTTGGGTCATGGCTTTCTGCATGCTGGCTAACATCTAGTATAAAATAACCATCGCTTCAGCCTACCTTCTGTATTTGACTACCATTTTATCTGTGCTCACTTTCAGTAGCCCAGTGTGGTATGACCTAAGGGGTCAGCATTCTATATACCAGCCACTTCAGTGCATGCAAACTGATGCACTTCTTTAGTTTCTGGGTGCCTGACAATCCACACCTCAAGTGGCCATAAACCTAGTATCCAGCATCCTCCCCATGTGGCAGCAGCTAGACTGCCTCCATGGACTGGGTCTGACAAGGCTCCTCATCATCTCTATTAACCACCCCTCGGTGCTCTGCCTGGGCATGAACATTTCTGTGAACTCACTCACTTTCACCCTCCTCAACCTGAACATTTCTGGTCAGTGCATGATCACCATAGTCAGCATTCTCGAGCATGAGCTTCTAATCACAGCTGTTCAGCTTGACCCATTTCTACAATTGCCATGGCAACCAGCCCATCCCTGGGGCAACTGCATCACCATTGTCCTTTCAGCCCCCACCAAGGATGCATCTTTAGACTATTTATATCATTTCCTTTTACCTTTGCTTTGCACTTCGTTCTCTTCTTTTCTTACCCTTTGAGTTTTCACAGATGGCTCCCATATGGCTAACCCTGATATGCCTCCACAGAATTGGTGTGCAGGTGCAGGTGCATGCTTCTTTCATTAGAGGGTCTTGAAATATGAGCATGCTTGAGGCATGGGTTATCATGCAAAGATATATATGGCTGAGCTGTATGTGATGGCTGCAGTTTCTAGTCATCTCAGTGGCTTCCTCAAAACCTATCCCAAGATCTCGCACATCTACCTCTGTGCAGACCGCTCTTTCAGTCATCTTTTTCACTTCATTTTGCAAGTTGACCTTCATGCGCTGTTCTGCCTTCTCCTTGTTTTTGAATAAGATGCAATGCTGTCAACATCACTTATACATAAGCTTTAAACACTTACACTTTTCGCCATCTTTGCCTTTTTTTGTCATGCTTATCATGGGGCTTAGTGCTAGCACCTTCATTATGGAACTTGGTCATAGCATCTTCAACAACTTTCTTGTCAGACTTAGCGACAGCATCTTCAATGTCTTGGTTGTTGAACTTAGAGGGAGCATGCTTAATGTCTTCGTTGTCAGACATATCCGACAACTTTTTATCTCTGAATACCTTTTTTCAGAGTTTTTCAAGCTTATCAGTGGGCAATGAACTGTTGAGGTGAGCCTTCAAGTATTGTTGAACAAAGTCAAGACTTACGCTTTCATGTCTTTTATGACATGATCCCACAACAATTGTGTTATCTCCTAAATAACGAGGTTAAAACCATGACACTTGCATGGTGAACAGATACTTACCATATTCTCACCTTGATTAGACAGTTGCATCATCTCAATATCCTCTTTGTCATTGTTGCCATCCTTGTTGCCAGTTTTCCTCTTCCAGTCTATGTCATTGCTCATGATCTGGTCTAACAGAGACTTCTTCACCTTCTTCATGTGTCACTCCTCTAGGTAAATGTTGTCTTCATGATCGTCATCTTCCACCATGTTGTGGCTTCCAGCCTGGCTCAGAAAGTAATTGATCACCTCTGGGAATATAATATTTGTGATGAGCATGCCAATCTGGAAATCAAGTACCATGTCACTGATGTGGTCAACCCTCCACTGCAGGATGCACTTACATGGTACAGATCATCTTCATTCTCAAAGAAGTTAAAGAAACTGCCTCCCTTGAATAACATATCATCATCATCATCATCCATCACCTGTGGGTGCAGCTTGGTGAGATTATTCAAATCATCCTTCCAGTCGATCTTCTGGGCCTGGTTGTTGTAAGATATACAATTAGCCTGGCAGCATTGGAATAGTTGGGATTGCTTTTACCTTAGGTCCAACGTCGTGTTCCCATGAGAACTCAAGCATTGATTGTGTAATGCCATTGGAATCAGGCTGATTGTCATCCTCTACAGGATGTGGCATATAGCGGTACTCCTTCTTCAACACCTTGTTGAAGAAATACAGATTTTCCTTGAAGTGCTGTACATGTTATTGGTCAATGACCATGCGTCTGCACAACATGTGGCATGTGCCACTCACAAATTCTAGCATGAAACACCACAACTTCACAGAATCTCGCACAATCTAGACATTCTTCAGATAGGGCTGACGGGTGGATAGCACATGAAAGCAGGGCCAGGAACACAGGTGAGTGGCAAATTCATGGGCAGAAAAGGAGGAGATAGCTGGTTGCCTGCACCAGGCTTGAGGGGATCGCTTTTGGCTGGCCTGCACAGGTCAAAGGCATTCAATGACAAATTCATGCAGTTTATTTTGAAAAAAAGCCACACTGGAGATCTGAGTCAAACTCTGACATTATTCCTGGTGGTGCCTTGCTTGACCCCCCCCTCCCCTAGCACATAAAAGCCATGAAGAAACAGAGAGGGAGCAATTCAGAGAAGCAGAGAGGAGACTGTGTTGAGGTGATGTAAAGATGACGATGACAAGGAGGGCAACAATGATGATGAGGGTGACAACAGCAAGAAGGGCAACAAGGATGAGGAGGACGACGACAAGTGACAATGCTGATGCGGCATGCCACAAAAACATTTCACTGGCAGTTATTTAAAACTAAAACAAAAATGCCTAGTTGAGATTATCACTTGCCCATAATGGTAATTTGAAAATACAAGAATTATTGATAATTCTCAAATACCATAGCTCAAAACAAATAAAGTGAGTTGTGAAAAGCGAAAAAGAATGACAGGCCAGGGACTCAAACCCTAAATCTTTAACTCAGAGACTAACATGTTACCACTACACCAATCTGCCTTGTAAAACAACTGCTTGCAAAAATGTAATATGATCATCTATAAATTATATTATCATATTCTTGTGACATTTCAAGCTGTTCCTTATGCTGTACACAATTGTCCACAACATTCTCTACTATCCCAGCTATTGTCCTTGAATTTTCTGCTGTGGTGGTCTTAGCAGCATCATAACTGAATAAAATATATCCCACCTCAACGTGTGTCATTTGAAAAATTCTAAACTTCACTTTCATCTTGTACATTATCTTTCTCTGTGGTGACACATTCATCCAGACAGGCATGAGTCTTCCAGCATTCTTCAGGTCCCTCACGGCAGTAGCAAGTAAGTCAATGGATCAATGCAGTATAGTCATGATGGCTGTGCCAAGCTCAGAAAGAGGAAGGTATATTGACTCGTGCACGGTCCATCCAGTGTCAGTTGACATGTTCCTGATTGAGGCTGTCACCAATGCAAATCAGAGAGAGTTGAAGGAGGAGGCAGCCATGATCTCCATGGGCAATGAGTGCATCTGTTATATCATTCTAAGGTCATGTCAGTATGAGCAAGGGTGAGGTAGCATAGATTAGGGAAGAAGCCATCTTCTAATAGCTCCAGCCAATATTCTGTATTCACCGTGACAACCAGAATCAAAATGTGTATATGTACCCAATGCTTTTGCATTTTAACAAGCAAGTTTGGGTCAACGTTCTCAAGTGAGACACTGATGTGGCAGAGAGAGAAAGAGTTTATATGTATTCTCCATGCAGCTTAGTGAGGATGCAGATAATCATAGGCATGGGTGGGTGGAAGCGATTGGTGTGTGTGATTTGGATGTCATCATAGACTCAGAGCACATCTTCAGAGTTAGAGAATATAGTAGTCTGTAGACCATGGAGATCAGAAGAGTAAAAGCTTATATTGTGGGCAGAATCAAAGGAAAAGTCACTGGGTAGAATGTCTTGTTGAGCAGTGATCAAAGACACCATGTGTCACGGTGCATTAGATCCTGTGCTCTAAGGCAAGGAAATGGCAGCAAGGTGCTTGCCAGCATCCAGTGACCTGCACAAAAAAGGGGTTTGCCCAGGTAGGGTCAAACCAGGCATGCAGTGACATGCAGCCTAAAAAAGGGGCTCAAAGGGCCCTTAGCCTTATGCTCACAACAAGGGGGTGAATTGGCTGTTAGGCCACATAAAATAGGTGAAGTCTTCCCTTAGATCCTCATGTGCTTACATACATGTAGTGGTGGACCCTGGGTATCCTAACTATGGTGTACTTACTGGGGTCCTGTCCTGTCTACATGTGAACATATTGCCAAAACCAGTAATGGTTCTGAACTTTGCTATAGCAACTATCTATAAAGGCCGTGGATATGCCAAGGTAGTCCTACTTTACCCAATGAGATAATTGCCTGAAGGTGGTGCCACTATTTGAATAGCTGAAGTGGTGCCACTTATTGAGTGGCCAATGGGGGTTCTGCCATAGCGTATATTCTAATGCTGGTGCTACTATTTGGCAGCCATGTAGTTGGTGCTGCTATTGAGCAGCGAATTGGATGCTTGCTAGCTTGATGGTCCAATGAGCACAGGTAAGCCTATTGTGGGCCAAAGAGTTCCATTCTGGGCAAGTGGCCTGGTGTCACGTGACCAACACCTGATAACTTCCAAATAGGGCAAGTGGCCAGTGTCACGTGACTGGGTGGCTGAATCATGGGTGCTTGGTGGTCATGTGGTAGACACAGTCATATCTGCGATGTATGTGGTGGTATTGTGCTGTTTGTCTAAGTATCCACTTTGTGAGACCAATATGAAGGTTGGCGTCTGAATAACCACTTGTGGTTGCTGAATGATGACTTTATTGGTGCAAAAAGAAAGGTGCCACTTAATACTGTGATACCATGATGGTTGAGGACAAGTGACAGAGTGGCTTTGGATTGTGTGGTGGTGCAAACTACAATGACACTTGCTGACAGCTCAGAACAGGATGCTTGTCAAATGAGGTCAGTCGACAATGTGTTGCAGCGACATTGAGATAACATTTATTGTGGACATTACAATACAGTACAAGCTATGGCCATTCTTCTATCTGGGTCCAGTACTGTTCAGAGTCATCAGAGTGCTTTAGAGACATAGAGGTGGGAGTGTACGTTCAACCTTATCCTTGTCCAAGAAATCCTTTTTCACTGCTTTACCCTTGCCTTTGTCCAAGTGACCTTCAGAGTCAGAAGAAATAGAAATAGGAGAATGAAGATATCTTTCTTCCTTGGAGCTGAATGGTAGCTTTGAAGATGAAGATGCCTTTAATTGCATTTTGGTGGTCGCATATCATGTTAGCACTTCACCATACTTCTTGACGAGGCCCTTGAGCTCACGAGATCTGTGCTGCATGCTGTTCAAGCACACATTGGGTATATTCTTCATACTCTTAGCATGCTGGAGTGCTGCAACATCATGCCACATGATGGGTGAGGAGAGTTGAAGAGGAATGTTGTCAGGATTGTTGTCATGGACCACAAGCAGATCAAAACTGTGGTCGTTGTGTAAATGAGAAAAGTACTCTGCTAAAGGAAGCCTGTCATGCTCACTTTAATGTGTTAAACAGTGAATTAAAGTAGTACAATACTTACTGGTCACCATGATGAGCACATTGTGGTATGCGACACTTGAAGCTATGCGTCACAATAAATTGTTGATTGGTGGAATGTCCATGACCAAAGATATGATGATACAGTTCACTAGGCAAGTTAAATGTTCTAAAGTATGACTTAGCAGGGTACGTGCAAAACACAAAGATTACACTCACAGCAAATGTTGGGTCCAAGTGAGGTATGTGTTGAACAAGCAGTGCGGGCAGAGAATGTGTCTCTCTGACTCATTTTCTTGGCCCTGTGTTGACTTTTTCTTCTGTGCACACATAGTTGCATTTGCTGCATGTGGTAGGTTGTAAACGAAGTCCTTTGGATCACTGTAATTTGTCAGTTATGAATGCTTGTAATGTGCTTCAATAGCAAACAGGCATTTTAAATTCACAAACATGCAATGCTTGTCTCAAATATCCTTCCTCATCATCAACAAGTTCAGCATGTCCCACTTGGCAAGAATGTGGCTGAAGCAAAGACACAGATGTTCATCCAGCAGTGTAGACTCTATCAAAAAGTCAGGAACATTGTCATGTTCTTCGTCAGCTTTACAAAAGGCAAGCTTGATTTTTTTCTTGAAACTTTTCTTGCTAGGCTGAATGGGTGGCTCGATGTCCTTGGTTATGAAAGCTTGATAAATCAGACACTGAACATGAGAATCCTTATAAAAGTTCTTCTCGCAGCTGAACCTGTGCTTTGCAAGGTTTCCCTTGTGGTCTTGGTATGTTCCTCAATCGGCAGTCCAGGGCTGGCATGACAGTAAGGGCATATGCCACATTCGCTGAGAGAGAGCACCTACAAGTTGGTCAGCCAATAGTTGAAAATGTCAATATGGACATTGACAGGATCTGAGGAGATGAGCGGCATGAGAGGGTGAGTGTTGAGAAGATCCTCCAGCAGCTTTGCAGTCCTCACATCTTGAGAAGCATCATCTTTGCTCTCATCATATGGTGTCAGGCAGGCATTCTTATGTTCATAGATGAAGGCCACATCAGAGGATTGAGGGAGAGGGATGGGCTGTTTTTCAGAGGTGACAATCAGCTGGTATGTGACCTAATGTGATGTTAGAACTGGCAACACTGCAATATACTGTGGCCACTCACTGTATATACAATCTTATGAGGAACTGGGTATCCCCAGTTTCATTCAACTATTTCATGAGGTTTACAATGCAAATTCACCTCCTTTATGTGTGATAAGGCTAGGGGCCCTTTGAGCTTCCTTTTACTTCACGTCATCATTCACCATAGGTGTTGAGTCACAGAATGCAGGCAGCACCTTGCAGCCAGCTCCTTGCCTTCTTAGGCAGGAGTCACAATGCACTGTGACATTTGAATGAAACTCTAAACTGCACCCAGCAACGTGCTGCTTGCAGGGTGACCTAAGGACCCAATGCGGGCCAGGCACATTTTCAGCCAAAGTACCCTTTGAGAAACTGGTTTTTACTGAACCTAGACAATGTCCATAAACTGTCTAATATTATGCCAAAGTACCCAATGCAGGACTGGTACTTTAAGCCCAAGAACTTCAGGTTAGAGCACACCTTTTTTGACATAATATTCTATATTCCACATCAACATCTACCTCACTGTTAGCCACTCGCTGCCTTTAATAAGGTAACAGTGCATGCATGCTTCCTTCACACCTCCATGAGGGTGAACAGCCATTGAAGCCACATTACTCTCTGAAGACAACCTGAAGGGGGGGGGTCAAGCATTCATTAATAGATTAACAATGCTACACTAGACCAGTAACCTATGTAGCAATACAGAATATTACACAAGTGAAAGGCACCTCAGGGCTTCGTTGTCAGTGCTTGAGCCAGTTCAGAGGCAATTAGGACCTCGTCATCAGCGCTTCAGCCAGTTCAGAGGCAATTAGGGCCTCATCATCGGCGCTTCACCAGCACTTTATAGATCTAGCAAGCCCTCGTGCCACAGCCCAAACCTTCAGCCACCACAGTTCATGAGCATGGAGTCACCACTCACATTTCACACACACACACCCTCACATTTCAGCTTTTGACTGTTTCCCAGTCAGAGGTGTCCCCATAGTCAAGTCTGACACTCACCGGTTCAGAAGTTTTGACAATTTGATCCATTTCAAGCTCTCACAGCCAAAGGACTGATGGCTGCTCATCGTTGCATTATCATTTGAAGTTTTCTGCGACTGTAGCTCAAAGGAACCATGAATGGACAAGCTCTGGTTTGCCTTACACCAATAGAAGTTGGTCAGGAGTGGTGCTCACGGCCAGGACATGGTTGAGCATATCACCGTGACCCTTTTTCACATCATATGGTGGAAGTTCATTATGCAGTACCCGAATCTCTCTCTCACACTGCTATCAACACAACCTGGTCCTCCTTCAATGTCAGGAGTCCCCGGTCCAAGCACATCCACCATCCTGCATCACACCCATCATGACGAGGGGGCACTGCCTTAAAACAGGGTGCCAGTGACAAGGCCCACATGTAGCACAGTTGCAGGGCATGGAGCAGCATCTCACAAGGGTTGCACCCATCGTGGTTGCCTCCAAACCTCACTCTGATGAGTCATTTCTGATACTGAGGGGCTTGCACTAATCATCAATTGCAGCACACACTCGCAGAAGCAGCCACTTTTCGGGTTAAGGAGCCACCAGTCAGCATGTGCAGGGTATCCATACTTGATGAGTCTTTCTCATTGAGGGCAGCCCTGCACACTCAGACATGAAGTCAGATAAGAGTGATCAGTGGGCACTGCATGTGCTGCCCAACCAGAGCCCTGCACCACAACCACATCTGACACTCCATGTTTCTGCTCTGCAATGTGCCCCTGGGGCCTGACCCACTGCCATTCAGCTTGCTGCTCTGCACTCGTCCAATCCAATCACATTGATCTGTGGCATAATGACACATGCTGCTGGTGAGGGGACAATGGTTCCCTCCTCGATGTCACACATGTCAGCCCCCACCTGGTCATCTCAAGTCACTGTGCCTGCTGCTCGATCAGCTCTAGTTCCAATGTCCATCACTCACAGACCATTTCACATTCCACCTCCTCCTGTCATCGTTATCCCCCACCTGATGGGCTCATCACACAAACATGTCACGATCACCTCCTTGACTTGAACACCAGCCACCACCTATGCTGAAGTGTGGCACTCAGATGATCTGTGCCCACCCTGTTGCCAGAACAAGATTCCTTGCTGGTGGGATGCATGTGAGCATGCATGTCAGAGGTGCAGGAAAGTGTGCATCAAGTGTCTCCTCACATTCAAGAACAACATGCCCAACCCACCCTGTAAGTATCTCTATGCCCCCCTTCTAACTTTGTAGCAATGCTAACATGGTCATGCTGCAGCCACCTCAACGTATCTGGGAATTTCTGGAGCCACCCTGGGCCTCATCATTTTGATGGAATGGCCACTATACGTATCTGACCCAGTCATGCGCATGAGCTCCCAGAGGCCTTGAACCTTGAGATCCACTTCCTGGATGAGTATCTCAAGGAGCTGGCCCCAGCATGCAAGTGAGGTCGCAGCATCAAGAGCAGTTCACCCCTGAAGAAGCACATATATATATGTGCTCCATCACCACCACCCATGCTGACCACCATTTGAGCTGGCCTGTCTGAGTGCTCATCTTCCATTTGGAAATCAGGACCATCCATGGCACTAACTGCAGCACAGGAGCCTGGACCATCCTCACCTGCCCCTGCACAGATGCAGGAGGAATATGGAATCATGTGTCATGGGCATGCCCACATGCCGTCTGTATATAATGATGCTCCCTTGTCTGCTTCACCTTCTGCTGCTCTCAGAGCGACCAGCAAATGCTTGCTGTTGCCAGTCCCTGAGTCTGTCCATGATGAAGAGGCATTCTGCATGCAGGGCACCATCTCTCCCAGCCTGAGCATGAAGGCACTTGGCAAGCAGAAGGCTGCCAATCTGTTGGATGAGAAGAGTGAGGTCAGGGGAGTGCTAGACATGACCAAAGAGTAGGGAATGTATTGGTGAGGTAAGTTCGTCTCAGTGTGCATGCATGAATGCATGCAAGATTTCCTTTCATCATTTACTTTCCTTATCATTGTCCCCCATCTGCTAATCTCTCTGTTCCCACCCTCTATACTTACATAGTACCATATTTTCCCTCTTTTGTAACATGATTCCCCAAAATAGATGCACACCTCAGAGATTCCACATGCTATCTGTGCACCCCGACCTGCCTCGATTGAACAACTCATCCAAAATGGCTGCAACAGCCTGGCGATCACATGCTTCACATGGCACAGCTAAAGGCAAGACAGAAAACCTTGCAGACCCTCTGTCCATCCATCATCCAGAGAGAAGCCATCATGGAAGATCTCCCTTCGATATTCCTGTGTGCCCATCATCGCCTTGCCATGTTAGTTGACCGATTCACTGCTTCAACCACAGTCTGTCTCCCGGATAGTCAGGATGAATTTTTGTCACATCTGCACATGTTAGAAGCCCAGTGAGTATGCACCAGTTTTTCACCTCTGTCCTCCGGTTACTACTGCTGACCCCATTAAACAGCTTGACTTGCAAGACTACATTGAAATTGAGATGTCCATGGGTAGTCTAATGCACTCTCTGCTCAGGTGGTCAGCCCTCTGACAACCTCTTGCCCAGTTCCATGTGTGGAGGATCTGTGATGAGAAATTCAGCTGCCCACATGCTGACCCTCTGGCAGAGAGCCATTTTCTCAGCCCAGATCCCACTTCACTGAGGACTACTTTACCCCAAACCCATCTGGTCACAGTAACTCAGTCTGGAGAGGCTCCACCTGCTTTACCCATCTTGTCCCCATTCCTGGTCACCCTTGCCTCCACCGGGACCCCAGTCCATATGCTTTTCAAACTCGTGCACTGCATATCCACTATGGAGGATGTCCTGGTTGTGACTTTCAATAGCCTGGAGGCCAGGTACAAACACATTTTGGAGCACACATGTACGGCTATTAAGGACAGCTTAACTCAGGATCTCAAGACATTGATCCATGATGCTGTGGAGGAGGCGGCCATTAATTTGAAGGCCAAACTCCGCAACTCCATTCATCATGATCGCATTGCACTCCTTGCCCTGATACACGACCTCCAGGCGGTGTCTCTCCTGAATACTGAATTTGGCTTTGCCCTCACCCACCTCTCTCATGCCTTTGTTGAATCACTCAAACAGCATGAACATCTCCAGGATGAGCTCTCCAGCTCATGAGCAGCCCACAATTCCTACTCCTCATTGCATCCGTGATGGACATGGCCTGAAACTTCGACTACAGCCCCTTGGTGCAGTCCCTCTGAGATGCCATCTAATCCTTGTCGAATGGGGCCTCCTCTACTCCAGATGATGGCTCTGCTTCTTATTCTCATTTGATCACATCCAAGTTTTCTTGTACCTCATCCAGTTCCTGACATAGCACATCCTGTAGCAATACCTGTGCCTCCACCCATGATTTGTACAGAATGACCCCAAAAGCTGCATAGTAGTGCTTTGAAATAGAACCATCCCACTCAGCTAAAATGTATGAGCCTCCTGTATTGTGTCAGACCACAACCATCAGACCGACATAGCATGGCTTCGACTTTTGGTTATGGTCTGTTTCAAATTATGAGTTCTGTACCAGGACTAGGTCGCCGGCCATGAACTTGAACTCGCAAATTGTGTTCTTGAATGTTTTCTCAAACTACTTGATTGACTTGAACCATGCAGCCTGAACCCATTACCAGACCTCTTACAGGTCCTCATGCCTTTTGAGTAGCTGTTGGGCCCATATTGCCAGGAGCTATTCCATTGACATTGGCTCATCGGTGGCCGGAGTGACATTGGCTCATCAGTGGCCAGAGAGAGGTATGTAGCTTCTGCGAGGGCAAACAAAAATACTGGCTCTACCCCGTGGACCATGAAATATGGAGACTGCACAGTACTCTTCTGAATAGAGACCCTTTCTGCCCAGAACACAGCATGTATAACCTTCGACCAGTCCGTCACATTTCCTTCACTGCAAACCTTCATGGCCACTTCCCGGACATTGAAGTGCCACATTCCACAATATCATTCATCTGAGAATTATATGCTGAGATCTGAATATGCGTGATTCCATACCATTTGTGGAGGTGCTCCAGTGCCACAACAAATGGTGCCCTGTTGTCCGTGACTATCTCCATGACTGCTCCCCACTGGCAAAGTACTTCCTCAAATAGACACACCCTGAGAGTCTTCCCAGTTTCATGCCATAATATTCTCCACTCAGGCCAGGACGAGAGTGTGCACCACCTCTTTCACCAATCTTTACTCTTTATTTTGCTCCCTTTTTATCCTGCTCAGGCCTCTTCATCTTCTTTCTTCAGAATTCTAGTCCTTCTCGATCTTTGCTGTTATGTGTGAAGCATTGAACATGACTCCCTTAGCACTTCTCACATGTCCATGCTTACTACATGAGTCCTGAACTTCAAGTTGTGAAACAAATGAAACATCATTGTACTGTTGGTATGATGCAATCAAAAATGGCCTCAAAACACTGTTGATGTCAGATGAGTGATCTTTGTGCTGCATACATGTTATTTCATCAACAACTCAAGATGACAGAATTCTCAGTAAAAAGCACCTGAAACTTGTTTTTTCTAGATTTTGTTCACATCAAATTGAGCAATGATGACAGTACCTTTTAAAGATGAGCCATGGAATAAGCAGGTGTGCACTGATTGGTAACCTCTACAGTGTGATAAGTGACATACATTGCAGTTTCTAGTATGATTTTGTGAGAAAAATTCTGTTATGGTAAAGTAAGGAAGGACCTTCACCTGATCTTATTCTATAAGGGCTGAAGCATTGGTCAATAACTGACAGCAAATGTAATCTTTATCATGTGTTAATGAAATAATGCTCATGGGTAAGCCATCAAGCTGAACTGCAAATAAAAGAGTTTGAGACATTGGTTACATGTGTATCTGAGACATCATGGTCCATATGGCTCACTGTGGAAAGAGTATCTCTCATTGATAGATGTGATGTTGAATGTCAAACATTGTTCATCTAGAGTCTGAACCTTGAGGTGAGGGGTAGCGTCATGGTTTAGTGTCACATTATGATATTTTCAGCACTCCAAACCACTTAAAACATTCCTTAAACCAGGAGCACAGCAGCCTATCTTTGCCAAAGTCCCCTTTGCAAACCACTGATCATGTGCTCACACCATATTTGACAACTTCAGCCACTGATCATGTGATATTAGGTTACTTGTCCACCATGCGACTCATTGGCCCATTCCAGGCTAATCCAGGCTCACTGGATCACTAAGCAGCAGCAACCCCTTACTGGGTCTGGCATGATGTTTTCACATAGATACCAGTAGTTCACTGTAGTTAGACTCTCTGAGGTCCTGACCTATGTGTATATATATGTCAGATCAAACTGCTGATTTTTTTTTCCAGTTTTGATCTTTTATTGCATGCAGCTTTCAAGCCAGTGTCTACCTTTCCAACCATGTAATTGTCACAGATTTTTGCCACAAAGTTCGCACGTGACTTTGCTCATGCCACAGATCACGTGCTTCACCAATATCTCATGCCACTCAGCCACAGATACAACGCGTAGAGATCAGGTGATAGTCCACATCACATGCTATGGTCCAGACCCGTGGATGATACGGTCGGACCTGTCTATTCCAGAACACAATAGAGGCACCCATTTGGGAACAAAGAGAACAAGGACTATTGTTATACATCAGCCTTCCGCTTCCTATTAGTTTAGCCAGAAGCCTAGATAGGCACGATGTTCACACCGGAGAACAAAAGGGGAACCAAGATAGGCACGATGTGCACACGCATTACTGTGGCAACCATCGATCTTCCCACTTATTGTTCTATTTCCGGACATCCTATTGTCCCATGTACGGCCATTTGCTTATACCTGTAGATAGGTAGCTTAGGTAAGATAGCCCGCTGTACGTGTATATAAGACCAGCCATGTAGAGGACGAAACTTCAGATTATTTCTCCTCGTCTACTACCTGTAGCACTCACTGAGCTCATCAGCTCCTTCATATATCTCTCACCCCTCCCTGCGTCTGCCACATCGACCAGTAAGTCAACAGGCTCTTGCACTACATAGGGTTTAGGGGGATACTTTTGGGATCAGGGAGATCAGGGCAGCACATTCCACGTGACTGTCCCTTTTTGTCTCTTTGATCTCTTGTCTGGTGTTACCGTGACATTAGAAACAATCTGACATTTTCTGCACCCCTGCTTAGTGTTTAACACAAGTGGCCACATATTTTCAGTGCAAGCAGTTTCAGCCGTAGCGCACGGCTTTTTTGACACACATTCCAATCCGATCTCTACCCGGCGTGAGCCTCAGCAAGAGTCTGAGCTGCCCAAAGCCTCAAAGCACAAGGCCACTCCCAGGATCGACCTCGACGCCCACTACAAGCGTCAAGAAACCAACAAGGAGTGTGGAAGGCTCCTCACACTCGCATCACTAGGCACATCGTCCACAGACAGGCAGCGAGCAGCAGCTAGGGTTGTAGATACCACACACATCATAAAGCGCAGAATCATCCACAAGCCACGTGATCACACCCCACCGCTCGAACGCTACAAGCCCAGAAAGGGACGTCTTACCACTGGTAGTCGCAAGCCGGCACCGCCCCCAGAGCTTATCACCTCCAACACAGTTCCTCCCCCTGTCATTGCTCCCATTCCAACTCATCCCCTACCCAACTTCATAAAGACAAACACCATCGCACGTCCCATCTGCCCACTCCCTTCCAGATTCAGGTTGACGATCCACATCGAGATCCTTACGAAGCAGGTAGATGCTACCCACTTCAGGCTCCAACCCATATTAGGAGCATTCTCATATCGTCTCAAGGACGAGCACCAAGGACCCATCTTTAGCCTCGCCACAGAGCTCGATAAAGTCTGCGCCGACCTACATACAGGGACACACACATATACATTCGTCAAGAAGCAGGTCATCAACAAAGTCTGTCTGGAGATAGGAGGAATCAGTTTCAAGCAGATAGGAAAGGAAGAGAGGCTGCAGGAAATTGCCAAGGCTCTGGTCTTCATCTCGAAAGTGAGATATTTGCACTTTTTGTATTAGTTTACCTATATCACAATGGAGTCAGCCGATCGTGTGCACGCATCCACGTTTAGGCAACAAATGGATGACATTCTTCATACAAATGTCGAGTCAGCACACGACGGAAGTACCCCACGCGCCTCACAGCGCAATTCACCAGAACCTGTGCTAGGACTGCAGGACTCTGCATCACAAGTTGGAGGACCAGCATCCCTGACACCATCACTTGTACCTGCCTACGTTCCACCCATCTGGGAGTTTGACGGACACCAATTCGAGCACCTAGAAGATGCTCTCAGACAGTCCGCTCCTGGAGAAGTTCCGGACCACATACGTGAATGGGTAATCATCGCAATGAAGCTCACAGTCACTACCGAAATCATCAAGGTCTACAATGTGCTCGGAAACAAGATGTACGAGCACAAGAAAGCCTTTGAATTGCTGATCCAAAACAACAAAAGTAAACACCGACTTAAGGAGGCAGTTCTCCAGACAGAGATCGGGAAGCTTAAGGATAGGATCCTTGTGCAAGATGCGCATATGGCAGTTTTAAATGATGAGCTCACGGGAACCCAGGTGGCAATGCTCGACACGGGCAAAGAAATGATGGAAATCAAGGCAGCTAACGTTAAGCTGCGGCACGAGCTAGCTTCACTCAAAGCAAGCGGCATCACTACGATGCAAGGTCAAACATCCGGCACGGTCCAATCGCACAAGCCATGCATCAAAATTGCTGAACCTCCACACTACTCGGGCAAAGGAAGTCTGGAGGACTGGCTCCAACAACTCAGTATATGGATGCGGTGGAACGAGATCAATGACGATGAACACAAGATTACCACGGCCTTACTGCACTTGGAAGGTGGCACGTTCATGTACATGTCTGAATATGCAACCAGGGCAGTGGCACGACAGGCACTCGGCACATGGGAAGACTTCGTCGACATTCTCAAAGTAAACTACAGGACCCTCAACCCGGACAAGAATGCGCAGCAGCATTTGAAGGATATCTGCGGCAAGACGTATCTCACAATGGTATCCTTTGCAGAACAGTTCCGCCAATGGGCCACTAAGACCAACTTAGGCACACTGCACTCATCGGTTACATCGCTGAACACCGAAGCAAGGACGTACACCAGGCAATGGTCACACGAGACAGCCTAGGAATTTCTGACCCCATCACGTGGCCGGAATATCTCGACCTATGTCTTCAATTAGAGACCAAGTTCAGAGCTGACAAAGCAGGACAGCGCAGAACAGTAGCCACATCATCATCAGCACCACGGGCCCCAAAAGTCCCCAACGCAATGGTCGTGGATCGAGTATCCACCCTCACCAAGGAGCAAGAAGGATGGCTGGAGAAGAAGCTGTGTGTACAATGTGGGAAACACCCCTTCATTTTTAAACAGCGATGCCCCGACCCCAAGTACAAAGGCAAATTCGAAATGCCAAAGCGGGGTCAAGCAACAAGGGCAATTTCTTCAAACAATGCCTCAGACATCTCCGACAACAGCAAGGCGAGATACGAAGCAGCCCGTGCTTTCATCCCCAGCTAGATGTGAAGGAAAAGGAAAAGGAGGCAGAACCAGAACCAGCTGTCGAAGCAGCTAGGATCACGGAGGTAGAAGATGATGAGGATTTTCTTCGGCGGGTTCTCTGAGGTCTGGCCAGAGTTCCCATAGACACTGTAATAGTACCTACTCGCTCTCGTATGTACCAGTATCAAGTTTTTTATACATCGCATCTACTGGTTCGTCAAAACACGCGATCGATTTACCTGTTCACCTCAAACAGGGAGTAAGGGAAGTCCAGACTGAGGCGCTCCTCGATTCAGGAGCATATTCTTGCTACATCAACACATGGCTGGTTGATCAGTTGAATCTAGCTACGATCTCACTTGAAAAGGAGATCAGGGTCTACAATGCAGATGCATCTCACAACAAGGGTGGAACCATTAAGAAAAGGGTTCTTCTAAATATAACCATCGGAAACCACACAAGCCGGCAAAGCCTTTTGGTCACCGATATAGGACATAAAGACGTTATACTAGGCATGAGTTTCCTCAAAGAGCATAATCCCGAAGTGGATTGGGGAAAACTCACAGTCGATTTCACCCGGTGCCCACAAAGATGCACACCCTCACAGGTAGCAATCCAGGAGGAGGACCTGGAAGACACAAACATCCCCCACATCGAAGACCTGATGGAGTTTGTCGGTTCTCAGGAGTTAGGTGACAACTGGAACGACATGGACAGCTTCATTAGATGGGTGTCATGATCAGAAGACCCTGATGCACAAGCCATAGCATCGCTCATTATGGGTCTTGACACCAAGAGGAATCAGGATAGAGCGCCGCAAAAAGGAGAACAGGACAAAGACTACTGGTCAGTCTATGTCCCCAAACACTTCCATGAGTATGGCGATGTGTTTTCCAAGAAGCAGTCGGAATGAATGCCCACAAGAAAGCCCTACGATCATCCAATCGAACTTGTTCCAGAGGCATCGTTACCACGCCCGGCAAAGTTATATTTTATGAACCTACAGGAAAGAAATTCGCTTGACACGTGGATAGACCAAGAGTTGGCCAAAGGTTACATCAAGAGATCAAGGAGTCCAACCGCAGCACCCGTCTTCTTCGTCAAAAAGAAAGACGGATCACTGAGGCTCGTACAAGATTACAGGAACCTCAACGCAGTCACAAAGAAAAACAAGTTCCCAATCCCACG